CTGCCAAGTGTCACTGCAACTATCCCTGCTCTCTCTCCCCCTCTACATACAAAAAACCTCCATCACGTTGCTGTCCCTGAAATTATGGGGAGGCACCATAATACTGTACATCCATGGGAGGCACAAGTAGCGGAGACTGGAGCGGAGACTGGCAGTCAAGTCTGAGCGCCCTGACTCGACTTCCAGACTTGTTCCCCACAAAACTAACATGCCTCCAAACCTCCCAATGACTCCTGTTCCCATCACTGACCAATTGTCCAAAGTTTGAGCTTAATGTAGGATTACACTCTCACCGTCTCAATCCTGGGAAACACAATTTTTTTGACCATATGAGCATTCCGTCAAGTACATTAGAAGAAGGAATATCTCTGGTCCATGTGTAGGTCAAAATTTCCGTCCCTCTGGCCATGGCACTGCCCACTTCAGAATTCAATTTGGAAGTAATTTAGCTTGCACAATAAAATAAAATTTTACAGTCAAACCAGCTAACATTGAGCATAACTCTACCTAATCTAGGGCTGGGCGATATGGCTGAAAACTATATCACGATATAAGTCATTCATATCGGTCGATAACGATATATATTGAGTTTTTTTTTTTTTAACTAAATAAATACATTTGTCGTGTGGGCTAACCAACCTTAGCAGCCTTGTTTACAGTCACGGGGGAATGAGGCTGGAGGAATATGTTCACACTGTGTCCCTCGTTGTTAGTCCTGGTTTATTCCTGGTTTAGCTCCTGGTTTAGCTGTTTTCGAGGGTCTTGTGTCCCCGTGACCGCTCCGTGCGGCTCTCTGTGCCGCACATGCTTCCCGAGGAAAAAGTTAATCTCTTGCTTTCGCCGAATACATCGGGTCTGTCCACTGCCTCTGCCGCCGCACATGTTATTCCGCGCACGTACGTGCATAACCATTGACACGGCATTGAAACACGAGCTATAGATCCATGGACGCTACGCATGGTGCGGTTGTTGGTGTTTTTGCATTTCCCAGAAAGTTTTGCGGTTCCTGCTCGGCTGTTATTGGTCGAGAAGCCTCTGCCTACATCCCCCTCAATGCCGTGCGCTTATGAGTCGCTTACTTCCGGTGTTTTCTTCCAGTTTTTCCTGACTGAGTTAAGTTAAACTATCGAACATTCTATCGACCCCATTCTCTATTGATATCAAACACATGTCTATCGCGATATATATCGTTATCGTTTTATCGCCCAGCCCTAACCTAATCCTGTATTCTCGGGGTGCCAAACCAGAAAGGGCCAATGTGGCTGCAGGTTTTAGGCAAACTGAGCAGGTTGCCTTACACCAGACTCCACCCATTTCCTCAAATCTTCAGGTTAAAACCATTCCTCTGTGATCCAAGATGGCGGCCTAATATGGAAGTCTCCCATATTTGGGAATTTCTCTGGTCTTCCCGGTTATGCGCAGTGGATGAGCTCCCATGATACTCAGCACTGCTGAGCATCATGGGAGCTCTAGCGGAGCTAGAGCGGGAGGATAACGAGCAGTTTGTTGCACTAAATCTAAAGTGTGAATTTGATAGAAAACGGATGGATTTAACAAGAAAAAAGTTCAGGATGACAAGTGGCTCTAAAATCCCAACAATATCTGACTAAATCTGTTTTAGTTTACATTGAGTTCTATGGGAAATGAGGAGTCTAGGTAGGGCTGGGCGATATGGCAAAAAAAAAAAATCTCCGATTTTTTCACACCAAATCCGATTTTCGATTTTAATCGATTTATTTTTTTCTATTTAAAAACAAACTACAACTGACAAAGAAATAGATTTTCCTTTATGCAGTTTAATCTAAATCCCCATGGAGCATAAGTGTAACAGGAATTAAGCCTTAAAACATGCTTGTAAACGAGATGGCTCTGCCATTGTAAACAGTGAAAATGTAGCTTAACAGTTTTATAATAACTTCACTTACAATGACACTATGCACCTTCAAAATAACTTTAATCACACAAACAAGGCCCATCGCAAATATATCAATCCTATTAAACACATGCATTATTTACATGAAATATCACATTTTTAAAACTGATTACTCAAAATAGAAATGTTGTAACAGACAGTCTTTTCCAAAAGCCTCCTCGGGTTTTCATGCTCGTTCTTTCAACTGTGCCTGAGTAACTGTGCTGTAGTACAACGCTCGGTCCAGCTGGTGGCGCTAATACTAACTTCAGTGACTCCCGCATTGTGCGAGCTTCCTGTTTACATTCTGATGCTGTAGCTAACAGCTACTGTAGCAGCTACTGTAGCTAGCAGCTACTGTAGCAGCTACTGTAACAGCTACTGTAGCAGCTACTGTAGCTAACAGACAGCGGGGAACACGTTGTTTGTATCAGAGCAATGAGAGCAATGTGTGAGACGTGTCTTTCCCCAAAGTGCAGCGGCTCAGTGGGACACGAGTGTGTGCGTGCGCGCCACGGACACGGGAGTGCGCTTTGGAATAACGAGCGTGAGAGAGCGTGAAAGATGTGGCGTACGAACATGGCGTACAAACATAGCGACCGGAGCCTGCGTGCGTGTGTGTGTGTGTTTTGGCGATTAAATAAAGTCTGATTCTTGAACGTTTGAAGTGTTATTGCAACAGCACCAACTGTGAGAGCGAGCATCAGGCCAGAGGGAGACTGTTAGCATTAGGTTAGCTTCAAAATGACTGCTCAACACCATAGACCCGCGGTTAGCGCGTTAGCGCTGGAGAAAATAAAAATCGAATTTAAAAAAAAAGAAATCGCCCTAAACGTAAAACTCGAATTAATGATTAAAATCGATTAATCGCCCAGCCCTAAGTCTAGGGTACAAGCAGGATGTGTTTTTTCTTTTACCCACTCGACTTTCAATTTAGTTTGAATATAATTGACAGTTGAACACGTTTTATCATGAAGAAAAAAACTATTTCTAAATTTAGTTTTCTTTTTCCTTTGTTGCCATGTTGCTTTGTATCATACCCATGCTTAGTTTTATTTACTTTTTACATTCTATATGTTGATCATCTGAGGGGATATCATGTTTAGGTCCCCACTGACAGGACATGTTTCTTGATCTCTTAACACAGCGTCCAGTGGTGAGATATTGCATTGACCTTATCTTGTAGCTACTGTCTGCCCCCACCCCCTCTGGCCAGTGTGACGCATGAGTCCTGTGACAAACCCAGTTTGTTTTTATTGTTTCTATTTTCACTTGTTCAGGCTGTTTGGGAGGTTTTCAACATTTGTATCACTAACCGCTCCCTTTGGCCTTACAGTGTGTGTGTATGTTGTTGTGAACTGTGGGAAATCCCTATTGTTTGTCTAAGTTGGCCTTTACAAGACTTCCTGTGTGGTTGGTTGTACAAATGCATATTTCAGTATACGACTTTGAATTTGGTCATGCTTTGGTTGAGGATGTGTCCAATCCAGTGGCAGTTTGCAAATTGGGTCGATTTGCGTGAGTTTTGTCTGTGTGTGCCGGGACTTCCATTGTAGGTTGCAATAGCAGTAGAGTTCTGCTTCAGGTGACTTCAAATGACAGACAATAACCTGGGGTGGAAAAATCAAGTGTTACAAGACTGAAGGGAGGGTTGGTGTTTGTTCTTCAGACGCATGCATGAAAAGAACGATCTATTTGTATTGGCGTGTAACCTGTTGAAGTGGCGTCAAAGTGTGAATGGTTCGGTCTTGTATGAGGCAGTGGAAAAGGGCAGAAAACCGCCTGTTTGAAGCCGCGCCGCCTGTAATCTTGAGCTTGTGACTGTGGCGTTGACATGGTGCTAAAGTCCACTCCTCCTCCGCACTCTCTGCTCACACCTTGTATGTTCTGCTCGGTGTCCTTTGGCCTACTCCCCTCTCCCCATCTCTTCTCACTCTCCCACTGAGCCGGCTCCAGCCAGTATGTGGCGGCCATGTCAAGGAGAGGGCAGACTCTACCTGCAGCCCGCAGACATATCAGACCTTCTGTTGCTTTCAAAAGACGTCTGTTGAGTGCGTGGATACCAAAAAGTCTGAAAGTGTAAAATTATGTACTGCTATAAGTTTTACAATAGCTAAAGATATGAAGGCATATTTTTGGGATTTAAAAAAGGGTTCAATTCGGTACTATTTTGTTGCCAAACTATCTTCTATATCTTGATTAGGTAAAAGATAACTTGCGCATGAGAGGAACTGTAAATGACGTTCTGTGGGCTTTCATTATTTAGATGATTTGTCATGCTCCATATACTACTTTTGTACTATTGTGAAGTGAGAATTGTGAGAATGATTCCCGCCAATTAGTCAACCAAACAAGGTTGACATGTTGGATGTGATTGCTTAGGATGGAGCCAGAGCAAATTGGAACAAAACCTTGTTCATGAGCTAGTGATAGAACCAAACTGAGAGTGATGCCTGTCCCCTCCATGTATTTATTAAACATACTTATGTTTAATACTAAAACCGTCTGACATCTGACGAAGACACCAAAACACACATGTATCTGGCTGTCCTCTACTGTTAACCCTAGAGATAGAAGAGCTGGGGCTCTTCTATCCTTCTCCCTTTTGTGCCAGCTTGCATAATTTCTTACAAAAAGCAGCTCTTGCATGTATGAAACCTTTTGTCTATAAGTGGAGAGTGTTGCGTACAGGCTACTGCAGCACAGTCCCTCATGTGGCAGGCAGCGGCAATCCCAGTGACATGAAGTACGCACGATAACAATCATTCTAAAAGTCTGTTTTGCTGATTATCCCTCCTTTTGTTCCTGCAGGGTTTCCGTTCCGACTTAAGCCGCACCTATATGGCGTGTGTGAGCCGAGAGTTCTGCCAGGCACAGCACCTCTCGTCTGCGGAGAAGTGAACCGGCCGCCACTTCTTCAGGGACTACGCTTCCCAGAAACCCCCTTGACGCTGCTACCAAGGTGCACCTGGGATATCGCGTAGTCCTCCTCGGCCTGACAACACTGCCCTGCCGCTGATCGACTAATACGAAACACAGAACTTATCCACATTCTCGCCTAACAGCCAATCACAAACAGCTCTCCTGAATGGGGTAACTTGATTGGACGCCTGGATAGTCTCCATGCTTTTCTTTTTTTGTTCAGTTTCCTAATTTTATTCCTCCTTGTTCATCCCGGCGTATAATGGACTAGCGTCTGTTTTTGTTGTCCTTGTGTGCTCGCCATCCCTTTTTTTTTGTTATTTCAAAGCAACAGTCGATCTGTGTGACATCTCCTTCCACATGTTGTCATTTTTGTAATTATTTATTCTCCCCTTAACTCAACTGCATCTACTAGATTCATATATTTGTTGCTGAGATCTGAGCCAAAAAGTTGCATTTGTATTTTGTAAGACTGTTTGTATTGTAATTGTTGTCTTTAAGCCGTCTCGCCAACATGAACCGCCCCGCTGCAGTCGAGATTAAAAGCGAGTGCATGAGGTTCCTGATCACCCATAACCCCACCAATGCCACGCTCACCAAGTTCACCGAGGTACGTCCCTCGCCGAACCTTTTGGGAAAATGAACTTTTTGCCATTTCCCCCCCCCCCCTCAATGCCGTCGTCTTTGTCCACAGGAGCTGAAGAAGTTTGAGGTGAACACACTGGTGAGAGTTTGTGAATCCACATACGATAAAGCACCAATCGAAAAAGAGGGGATTCAAGTCGTGGTAAGATTTGTTTTGTGCTGTTTTTTGTCTTATGTAAAGGTAGGATTTATCTTTGATTTTCTTTTTTAAAATAATGCACATCTGTGCTTCAGGACTGGCCGTTTGACGATGGCGCACCCCCTCCCACCCAAATTGTAGACGACTGGTTGAAGCTGCTCAACACAAAATTTCGAGAGGAACCCGGCTGCTGCGTCGCTGTGCACTGTGTGGCTGGGCTAGGCCGGTGAGAGGCCATTTTCATATTTTTTTTCTACCAATCAGTCTCAATGATGATCAATTGACAATAGTGCCAGGACCTGAGGGAAAGGGAAATCAATGGGATATTCTTCTTTGGCTTCATTTTTATAATGTTGGTAAATAAGATTACAGTGCATAGATGTAACAAATATTGCTGGAAGATTGACGTGGAAGTGCTAGAATGCAAAACACTCAGAAATGTATGTGCCTTCCATTAATCTGTAATTTCAAGATTTTGGTGAAGGCTTTAACATTTGTCGCCATGCAGCCCTTGTGCCAATTCTATTGAAAACCCAGTAGCTTTGAATGTCGTGACGATAAGGCTTTGTCAGCCTTAGAATCTGACCAGTTTTATCTGTGAGGAAGGCGTTGAAACTATCACTGCGTAGTGTGTGCACGCCAGTACAGTGCCTCAGGGCAACAGTGGTGTGGCGGCCCCCTGTAGATTTCCCAGGCTTCTTTCCCAGGTTTAAAGCCCCAGCCCCTCGTACATTATTACTACAGCTATGTGAACCTTGGCATTTAATCCTGTGCTCTTGTCTGTTCCTTTGATTCTTTCTGCCACTTCACTGGTCCGGGCTGAAGAGCTCCAGTCCTGGTGGCCTTAGCTCTCATTGAAAGTGGAATGAAGTATGAAGATGCAGTGCAGTTCATAAGACAGTATGTACAACTCTCTGTGTAAACACGACTCCATACAGTAACAGTACATACTGTATTGTGCAAATGTAGAACAAATAAAGCCAACATTATCTTAACTTACACCTGAATACCATGTAAGAGAAGACACAACATAACCGTATGTACCACATGAAAGGGGTGCTTCCAATGGTTTAGTGCAGCCATTCCCAAACTCAGTAACACCGAGGCCCCCTTAAAAATCTGACGGGTCTGCGTGGCCCCCCAAAATAATAACCAAGAAGACAACATTAAGAATAGGCTCTTCTGGTTATTTTATTTTGGGGAAATAGCCTCTGCTACAAACATTGTAATACAAAAATGATTACAGTGGATTATTCAAGTCAAATAATGAACACAAATATTTTAATTTTACAAACAAAACATTATAAATTTAACATTAAATATATATATATTTTTTTTTATGACCTCCCGCGGCCCCCCTGCAGTACCCTCGCGGCCCACCAGGGGGCCGCGGACCCCACTTTGGGAGACACTGGTTTAGTGATTTAATCTCTGTAAATTTGTATTCAATTCTATTTCCAGTGTCTATCCCTAAAAAAAATCCCAATACTGCTGAAAAAGGTTTTTGTCTTGAACAATTAATTGTAAAAATGTATTACCAGTTACTGTAGTTTCTGTGATAAAAATGTAATTTATTTACACAGATGGCAGTGTTTCCACTACCATTAAATAGGCAGGGTGCCCCCCGTCAGTCCTTCTCCTAAATAATTGTACTAATGTTTAATAATGATAGAAAATGATGCATGTGCGGTCCCTCCACATGTGGAATAAGAACAATACAATATTATTCATGATAATATTTAAAGTTAATGATTTTTCATTGCACTGATAATATTAATATTATTTTTTTGTTTTGTTCAAATGATTCCACAAAATATAACTAGTTACACAATTAAAGGTATTTTGGGAGATGTTGCCTTCAGGAATAGAAGTGTTTTCAACAAGAACACTTCCCTGTCTTCTGTGATGTACAGTACACACCAATTATTATATTTTCATACACTTTTTTTAATCGGTCACAAATATTTTTGTTATTTTAAGAGGATATAAAAAGTAACCTTTTGACTTGACCACACCTGGCATGAACATAAGCTAATTTCCTATTCTTGTGTTTCAGGAAAAGACGTGGAGCTTTCAACTCCAAACAGCTCCTGTACCTGGAGAAATACAAATCGAAGATGCGTCTGCGCTTCAAGGATACCAATGGCCAGCACTGCTGCCTGCAGTAAGCTGTGCACGCTGCAGCTTTTACATGCCTTTAATTGGTAATCTTCCACGCTTCGGGAGACCAATAAAGAGTGCTGTCAGTAATTATTGTGATGATTTGTTAACACTGAGACAAGGTTTATTGATCAGAGAAAATAAAGCAAGTGAATGCAACGAGTCCAGATCTGGGCACCCACCAGCTGAACCTATGAATGGAAGGTCAAAGCACACACAGGCCTGTGGAGGCCATAGTATTACAACCTTGGGCCACTAGTAACACTCTACTTGAGACCTGCTCCTGTAAGTTGTAATCATTGGATCCTTTTCCATTTTTATGGATTTAGACTTTTTACACAAATACTGATGATTGTGACATTGAATATTTTATCTTTGTTTCATCTGATTATGAAATGTGATATGGCTAGAATGATGTACCTTTTTAAAAATGTCATTTTGAAATGGGTTCAGTACATGAGGTCAAGGTTCATGTGAAATGCAGTAATGTTTTTTTATTATATTTTGTCACTTGCCACTCTTACTTAAAGCTTCAGAGTTTAAATGTCTCAATATTTATTCACTATATGATAATTGTGGCTGTCAAAAGTAGAACTGGGTGGATCACCTTGTTCCGTTTTCTAAAGAGCCATCTATTTCTTTTGAGTGCAATAATCGATCCCTTCACCTCATATAGACCCAAAGCCCTGTTGCCATCCACACAGGGAACACAGGTACTTGTTTGCCTTTTCTGTGACAGTAGGACTTATCTCATGCATTTTCAAAGTGGTTCAAATATTGCCTAGGATCTGATGAACTGAAAGACGAGACAAAGCTGAAAGAACACGGTCAATTTTGTATCATTGTACCATTTTGGAAAAAAAAACAAACACCTGAATTCGTATTGGTTCTTTAAATATAATAAAATTCAATAAAAAAAAACAAACCTGTATCTTGTTATATTCTTAACAGAGGTCACTGGTTATTATAGTTTGAGTCATCACACGTTTCCCCTGGTGGGTGTTCTTTGTTCACATGTCAGTCAAAGCAAAGGGTGCCCTTTTCTACCGTGAAAATGACTCAGCAGCACGTGGAAGCTCAGGACGCCGTGTTACTCAGAAATGACTCATGGGTGTAATATATCTGCTACTGGTGAATCAGACTAGAGCCTCAGCCTGATCAGAGGTGGCCCCCTGCTGGACAAACCTATCCGTTACACCCGGAATGGCCCACGTCCTTCTTACCATTAATGCTTATTACATACTTGATACTACCGTGAATGAGATCCACATTTCAGTGATGTAAAAAAAGGAGGCAATAAGGGTCGTCAACTTCTTTAAACAAAGGCTGAATCCGAATATTCCAAATTGCAAAGAACTCCTTTTAAAAACCAGAAAGGTGTCATCGAGCGCGCAATTTATTTACTCATCCAACCAATATCTGAACAGATTTAATAGGGACATGTTTGTGTCTCTACCAGAATCCACAATGCTCAGGATAGAAATAGAAAGAAGTAATACAACGTAAAATGTTGTCTTAAAGGTCCCATAGTCTCTGCTTCAAACATTACAGTGCTTCATACATACGACCTGAGTAGTTTTAAATTGATTCCTTCAAGCTTTAGTTAGAGAGCTATCTTTCTTTTTCATTCTTGAGAGGCAGCAATGAATGCGGCTCAACTTTTTTCATGAGGATCTGTCTCTGAAATCCTCAACGAACATCTTCATCTGCAACACTTCACTAAGACAGTTCCAGAACTATGGTTACCATGAGGAAACTAGACTTACTCAAAAGCTGATTGTGTTATTCCCACGATAAGAGACGCTAATACAAAGCCCTAATCTGTAAGTACAGTGCTACTAACTAACTCGCCAAATACTTCTGTAGACTAAATAAATAGGGTTTGATTCTGGAACAAGGACATGTGTCAGATTGTCCGTGTTGGAAATAGTTTATTCTTGGGTCTGAAATGACTATGTACCGGCGAATTTGAAAAGTTTGCTTTGGAGATAAACAAACTGAGCACGAGGCTACGCCAGCGGCGAGGCGGGCTCACGGGCAGAGGAGCAGAGAGAAGCTGGGATCAGCTCCATGCAAGAGATGGATATAATCTCACAAGTGTTGTATGATCACTCAAAGTATTATCACACATGTGCATAGGATGGACTGTGAAACACAAAGAAGAGCACAATATGGCCCCTTTAATGTAAGGGAATGGGGAAGGCTACGTCATGACAAACTGTCTTTATGTTGGCTTCATTATGAATCTGTTAATTATTATGCCGAGAACAATCTACATTCACAACACAAGTACAAATGGGCAGAAAGCACCAAGACTCTTTGAATCCAATGAGGACCTTAAACGCTGCATTGACTTAAAAGTGCTAAAGTTAAATACAAACTGAAAGTCAATGCAACATTCTGAAACAAATCTTTGGGGTCCGGAGCCTCCTGCGGGGCCTCAGAGGCACACAACCGATCCAGCAACACGATTCAAGCAAATTAAAGAAATGTTTGCGACGATTACAAAGATTTTTACATCTTTGTAATTTGAGTTGTTTGTTTTTGTTTGTATTTTACTTTTGCCGTGAGGAGCCATCCCACAATGCACTGCACATTTTTACACTTTTTCCCTTTGATTTGAACACGACCCACAGTCTCTGTTTTATGAGTGTGTAATGTGTCAAGAGGGAACAGGGGTCTCCAGCCTTTTCCCCTGGACAGCTTTCTCTGAACAAAAAAGACACAGAGCAACAAGCAGCTTTGAGCTCACCATGGATTGGGTTCTGTCAAGACTTTGTTCATTTGTTACTAGTGCAAAGTAAGTTTACATTTACTATGATTGTGAGCATTTGAATCATACTGGATAATTCAGAATATTATTTGATTTGTTAAATTTTAGATCTTTTGGGGAGCTCCATGTAGAAGACCCTTAGAATTACTTTTTTATTTCCGTTGTCACAAACTAGGAAATAGCTGAAGCTCAAGGTAAAAAAACAACTGCTCTTTGTCTTTTGCTGCATCCGAATTAAGTGAAATTTTTTTTCTATATCCTTTTATGTGGTTTAAAATTTACCTTTTATGAAACGCAACAGATCCAAGTTTGTTCAAGTGCAATTTAATACCCTTTTAAGATGTTTTTGATGCCTCTTAGATCACAATGTATGCAAAAAGGTTAATAAAAATGACAAGTAAAGGATAGGAAGGATAAGGAAGGAGGTATTGTTTATGAATTCTAATGCAGCCATTAACTTTCTATTGAGATCAACCTTAACTCTGGAGCAGTGAGGAGAAAGGAGCTCTTGCTGCTCTGAACTAGGCGGCAACAGCAGCTGCTCGGGGAAAATAAATTCTCATTCATGAACAGGAATTAAATGAGCACACTCCGTCCTCCGTGCTATCCTGGATCTTTTATTGTTCTATGGTACTGCTGCTGAGCACATTTACAGACTATTTATAAGGAATATAGAACGTCACTGACACTGTTATAAACACAACAGAAAATCATAAATTATGCTGATAAATGAGGAGCTGCACTAAACTTGTGAAAAGTAAAAAATGAAAAATAGGCCCTGTCTAGACAAATACAAAGAAATTGGTATATATACTGGTTTCGAAACTGTTTTAAGTATAGACGGAACTGGCTCTGTAAATGTATCAGTCCACACAAACCTGAAGACCAATCCAATTTGCCTGAGAGAATTGTAATGTACGTGCCAGGCCTGATGGCGGCACTGTGAGGCTGTGACAGGAAACACCAAGTCAGACGAAGAAACACGTAGCTCAGCAACCCTCTCTCCCATACTAGTGAAAATACAAAACAATAGCGGCGCTAAGGCTGAATTTTTTCCCGATTTCAGCCCCCTACAAGATTCTTGTTTGCGAACCTCAGCGTGAGGCCGCCATTGCATAGTGTCCGATGTGAAACTGTAGCACGGGTGACAAAAACAATAACACAAATTGAACCATAATAATACACTGCAAACAAACATAAAAGTTCAACCAAGTCATTGTTTCAGGCTGATACAGGACATGCAATAAAAACTTCAAAACAGGACAATGTAGAAATAGACATTTACCGTCACACAGGTGTCCGCACACTTCATAATGCCTCATATTTGAGTTCAAACAACTAACTACACTGAAAGCCATAAACTGCAAACATGAACAGCCAAAACCAACAACATGAAACCAAAAACTGTCTTGGGAGGGCTGCAGGGAAACACACACTGCTCGGAGTTCACTACCTATGGACAAGATCCGCCCTGGGTTTTTAGATCTTGCTGTTTTAAACCTTTTTTATCGCAGTTACGTTTTTACTTTTTACTGTTACTTCAATTAATGTGAGTTCTCAACAGTTTCATTGTTGTTGCTTTTATTGACTCTTCCCCACAGTATATTTGATACATTTCACATTCTATCACAAGCGTCTCAGGACTGGCTTAAGTCAGATCGTGTAAGACGGAGGAACAAACTTGTCTGTGAACTGTGGCTTTTTAAAAATGCATGATTCTTGTTTTGTATCATTAATGAGGTGTGTCTGAAATATTTGATAGCCTTGTGCTCATTTGAAAAACAAATACATTTATTCTCATTCATATTTTATACAGAAATGAATATATGTAAAGCACATACAATAATTAGTCTGGTTTGATCAATTGTCTTTGTATAATGGAGTGTTTCCACAGTCTCTCCCGAGGGCCCTCACTGGTGCATATCATTCTCGGATGCTCGGAGGAGGAAAGCGTTTCATTTTAATGCAATGAGGTTTAGCATCTTTTAAGTGGGGAATTCAAGGAAATGCATGGCAGAGGGCAAGCAAGTGTATAATATTTCACACCAACTTGAAACAGAGGAAATTATGGATTCATTTGGACGGATTCACAAAGCCCTGACAATGATTACACTATGATGGCGGTTGTGCCACTTTCTCCGGGCGGATGCAAAACTCAATTCTCTTTTTCATTAGATTTCATTAGTGACCTGTATAAGCAGAATGTAGTTAAAAAGCAGTCAGATGTGTTTAATG